AGGAGGAGGAGGAAGAGGAGGAGGAGGAGGAGGAGGAGGAGAGGAGCAGGAGTAAGAGTAGGAATAAAAGTAGGAGTATGAGCAAGAGTAGGAGTAGGAGGAGTGTTTATATTTTTAAAAATATAATTGAGCTAAATTATTCCAGACTCAGATTCAGGCCTGGAACCATCTTGTAAGTTAACACGCTACTTTTGGATCAAAATAACAAATAAAGGATTAATTACAGCTACGGATTAAACACATTTTTCTTCTTTGAGTCGAGTTCCTTTGTTCGCGGTCTGAATGTTGTTATCGGGGTTTTTTCGTGGGGAGTGGGGGGGGGTGTTTGGGGATTTTTTTTAATGGGGAGGGGGGGGGGTTAACATTGAAAGCAAATTTAGACCTATCAGTTCTGAAATCATGGTGTCAGAAAAACTTCCTCTTAGAACCATAAATCCTTTAAAACATAGCCTATTTACACAATAGTATAGATCTAGATAATATGAACATAAATCTAGAGACCTAATAAAACTCACAAAACATTTTGAGAATTGATTTTACATATCTTTTTTAAAATCTTCTTAGCCCGTATGCTACCTTGGTTATATTTCCATGGCAAGTAAGAGACATGTATTAGGTAAAAAATAAATTATTACAATCAATAAAGACGTGTCTTTGAGGAAAGTGATGCCAAATACAGCATTATTAAGTGCAGTGGCTCAGAAACGTACGGAAACATGCAAAATGCATACATTTATATACGCCTGTGTACTTTAGTTTTAGTAAGTGTTTTTCGGTATCTGTAGCACAAAAATGCTATTTAAGCGCCTAGAGCTGGGTTTGCACGGGAGTGGGCGCTATAGAAATCATCTTCATTATTATTATTTACATGCCGTATATGTCTATTGAGAATTTCCTGGAAAGAATGGTACGGCATAGAAAAGTGTTCAACACTTTGAGTCCCGTATTGCATTTCACTTACAGTATAAGGTAGCTCGAATTCGTCGGGACCGGCCTCGGTAGTTCGAGGGATCCGTAGTTCGAGGGATATCTTACAAAGATAAAGGAGAAAATCAACGGGACCGCAGGCACAGTTCGACGAATGC